GAGTTCACGTACTCGTCAACACGTTTTACACGTTATACGCGACGTTACGAGGGACGGTAAACCAATCTTGCCGGCCGAGCGTGGCTTCTCAAAGCCGTCTAGTTGGAGAAAGAAAAAAAAAGTAGGTTCCGCGCCGGCATCAAATTCCCGAGATCTTTTTCCTTCCAACGACGTCTTTTCGACGAGGCAAATTATTGCCTGTGAGTTCGGATCTTTAGCGGTACCGGCGACGTAAATAATATTTACCTCATTTTGAAAAATGATAAGAGAAACTCGAAATGAAGGATATTTATTGACATTATACAGCCTTTGATGTAAAGTTCAGGCATTTTATTATAAGCATTTATATATTTTTCATGATTTTCATGAAGGCGAACGTGCGCGATGTGCTGTGCGGCATGGCAAAATAATTACTCGTGAAAAGCGATATGTACCTCGCTTAACGTATCTGTTGAATTTAATCCTACGCCAACATTGAATATGGCTCTCACGTCGCAGAAGCGAGATTCAGAATTAGATTGCTGCACTTGGAGTTACATGCTAAATAGAAAGGAAGACAATATTATAATTCATGGCAATGAACGTTAAGAAGTTAGATTCAAAGCTACCGTGGGAAATTTTGAAGGTATAAAGTATACTAAAATCATGGAATGAATTATAATGCGGAATTCGCGTGCGAGCTATTATGTGGATTAAGTTCGAGGGAGAAGTACGGGAAGTTTCGCTCGTGAGGTTCCGAATTCTCTCCGCTAAACACCGGGCATTTCTCCCGGGCGGGCTTCGTAGATATGTTTAGAAACACCATGCGAGTCCCCCGATCGCGCGACATCGATTTTAACGAGCTTTTCGAAGGCATATTACGAGAAGCGTGTAAAGTGTGATTCGTGACGTCACACACGTCGGGATGACGTTTGCGATTGAAGTGCGAACTCGCCCGAGTCTCCCGCGATGAGTCTCTCTGTTAGGCGTTGACGATGGAGAGGCGCGATGTGCCGACGATGTCGACGTCGACGTCGTCGTTGCAAGTAGGTCAACTGGACTCGCGCGCGCGACCGAGGCGATGTTTGCGACCGCGAGACCGTTTCACTGTTAGCGCGGCTAACAGAGGCGATTTCGCCTTGCTGCAGTGTCGCGTTTCACCGATCCGATTTGACGGGAAACCGCGTCTTCTACGAGAAGGTCGAGGACCAAATGCAAGGATTACGTAATGTCTCTGCCTCACGCTTCTTTGACCATCGTAAACGAAACGTAAGCGACATGAAAGCACGAAAGTACCGACGAAAGGCACGGAAGGCGCGGTTAAAGTACGAAGTCATACTCGAAAATTCGTTAAAAATTACCCGTTAATTTTGCAATCTTCAAATCAAAATTTTTACATTCCACTGAGATTCCTAGAAATAGTCTCAATATTATATTAAAATTTATTCGGCGTTTTATTACCTCTCGAATGTGCAACGATGTTTGACATCGATGAATATGTATTTTGTAATTTTTTTAATAACATTTGTCGCCGATTCGTTACGTAACATTAGACGCAATTGTGGTATTCTTATCTCAATGTAGTTATGTATATATAACTGTGAGAAAAAATTATACTTGTTGTTTAGAATAATATATGTTAAAAAAAACATTTACACACACACACACACACACACACACACACACACACACCATGTATATAGTAAGTAATAGAAGCTTATGCTATATTAGTCTAGACAAACTACTATTTTTTTTTTTTTTACTTGCTATTTAATACTTCAGGAAGAATATTTTTGCTATTGGAAATAACGATTCGGTCAAGGTAGTCCAAATTTGACGAGCCACTTATAGAAATACTCCATATATCGAATAATGATAACTGACCGATTCAATAGACGATTAAGGAACGTAAATGGACATATCAACAAGTACGAGCTTTATAACAGGGAACAAGCAGTATTAATTATGCACGCTTGGATTACGTTTACATTGCCATGGAAATGTGCCGATCGATGCTCGTGGTCGGAGGAGCATCGAGAGCATAGTTGGGAAGAATCGGGAAAACCCATAAGGAAGGCGCAAGAAAGTTATGACTCTTCCAAACTTTTCTAAATAGGGTTTCAGTTTTGCCGAGATTTATTACGTCCTTCGAGGCGTGCATCTACAAGCGCCAAGTAGAAAGAAAATATGGATTTTCAGTAGATTCAGCAGATAAAAGATCGGGGTAATTAACGTATTTTTGAGTCGAGTACTAACTTATTAATTTCGTAATCTTCATTTAAATAATAATTGTCAATAAATCACCTCCTTGAAGAAAATTCAGAAGAAAAAGGTTAAAGGAGATAATTTGAGAAAAAAATTATGTAAACATAAGAGTTGTCTTGAAATATGAAAATCGCATGTCATAATTAAAACAATGAAACGCGATAATGAATTTAACTTATATATAAAATTATCGCACTTGTTAATAATAAATTAATTTCGTATTATTATATGTTACTAGGCGATATTATTGTTATTGGCGATATATTTGTTTGATATCTGCATATATGATAGAAAATTAATGCGTCTATATTAAATTTCTGATGAACGGTCTCTCGTCGCTTTGTGCGTCGATAATCTCAAAACAGCGGCTTAACATGCCGCAACATAAAGGAATTAATTCTACTTTATGTTTAATGCCATAATCGGGAATACACGAATTCATGCATTTCGACAACATTGTTATCGTTGATAGATAGCGACTATTTTGCGAGCCCGAAAATAATTTGCGATTAAGTACGAGCAGGTTGATAATTGAACAAAATTAAATTAACATTGAGACAATTTTATCACCGGGAATGTCAATATTTTTTCAGTAGCTTCTTTTTCCTCGAATAATAATCGATAAGTCCCTACGGCAATTCGTGTCGATCACTTTTTCGAATTTAATATAAAGAAGAGTTCGCATTAAAGGGAGGAATAGAAATTTGTAAAGAGCAGCAGAAATTATGAATAGCATCATCTCGCCGGTTTTAATCTTCGATATTATAAACATACGCGTTCGAAATGATAAATATGAAAAATGTAAGGCATGCTAGTGAATGCCATGTTCATTATAAATATTTTTACATAGCGCACGCTCACTGCTGCTTTAATAAATAAAAAAAAAAACATGTCTTGCGATAATCACAATCGATCTGATATTATTCCTTCTGTCGTACGAAAATTCACATGAATTTATCTCCGTCATAATAGTACTTAATCATGGACATTTTTTAAATTATATGTATCAAACGAGACATTAATATAGAATACTGCAGGAAAATATTATTTGTCGTGGAAAGAATTTATCTCTCGTTGTTTTTATCAGAGATAAAAACTGTTGTAATATCAAGTCAGATTTTTCGGATATGAAAGGAAAAGACAAAAATAATAAAGGTCTCAAAATACGGATTTTTTTCAATCTGTGTATTTCAACATTTTTATTTTTGATAAAATAAAATCAGGTTAAAGTTATTTAAAATATTCGAATATTAAATTCTTTAAGTATGATATCATGAAAAATATTTTGTCATATCAGATCTCTCTTATGATTTATCGATAAATTTTAATGTTATATAACACTTAATATTGATGAAAGAAAACTAAACTGAAAGGAAGCATAAGATAATCGTTCAATTTTTAATGTAATAATATATGATAAATGTACTTTAATATTTGGCGGTAACAGTTGACAGAATTAAGAATCAATTGCACTCGCTCGTCTACAGCGATTATGAATTCTTTATTTAAAATCGTGACAAATCGCATAGTGCATTAGCTGTCTTAGATCTAATCTCGTCGCGTTTAACTACAATAAAGTAATATTTATAGATCTAAAAGATATCAATAGGAGACTAGAAGGCATCGGCGTTGCTATCTCCATCCTCGCTTGAAGTATTATTAATTTTCATAGCTGCTTTTGCTGGTAACATCAGCTTTCATCGTCCACGGGGCCTGAGAAAAGCATTGATTATGTTTAACGATATTAACACAACATAGTACAACGATATTAACATAACATCTCGAAAATATCGATTGATTGTAGACGAGAACGAAACTCCCAAGAGAAATTGCTACTTGCCATCCTCGCACACGATATCCTTCGGCGACTTCGCGCCAAGGACACGCGGCGGTCTTTGTCGCGTTACGCCGATTCGATGCACTCGGACTTGACGTCACCGGTGCGTCTCCGGATCGCTTAGGAATTTCCGCGCGTCGGCCGCAACTCTCGCGATCGGCGTACCGGAATTTCCACTTTTTCACCTGTTGAAAATTCCAGCCGATTCCCAGCGGAGTTCGGTAGAGGCGGTGCCCGCCTCTCGCTCATGGTGGCGTCCAAGTTCTATTTCCAGGTTCTCCCCGACGACGACGATCACGACGAGCGTCAAGCCGACGTGGCAAACCGCGGCGCGTCGCGACGCCACGTTTCCCGAGTTTCCGGCGCCAGCGTCGATGTGCGTGACGCTCGATATTTTAAGTTCCACCCAGGACAGGGGCGCTCTCCCCACGATCTCTCTCTCCCTCCTCCTCTCTCCTCTCTCTCTCCCTCTCTTCCTCTCTGCGACCATTTCCGTTCTGCTGTTTTTCCCTTCTTCGGTAATGCCTCCTACTTAATGTTATCGCTTAAGCAATCCACACGAGCGATCTCCGACAGATTTTCCTCCGCTCCGCAAGTCTCCGCCGGAATTATCGGAGCAAGCACGAGACGATATCGCGCGCTTGCCACCATTAAAATTCCTTTTATCTCGACCCTTAAGTAACGCATTCTCACGTTTTCCTATTTTCCCTCTTGAGTTACGTAACGCGACGTCCGGGGGGGGGGGGGGGCTGCTTTAAAAGACCGCGAGGCTTTCAACCTTTAAAAATTGCAAGAAGGAAAGGCTTTATACGGATAATTATTACTTTACGAACGCTCGCGGTATATTATAATAAGATGTCCAATAAAAGATTCTCGATATTTATCTCTTGTTTTCGTTTTTTTTTTTTCCTTTCGGAGAATGAAACGGCTCGATAATGAACCTAAGAAGACCCCGTTTGTATTTTCTTTCCCCTTTTGTCGCATGCTGTCCTGAAGGAAAACTATTTGCACTGAAACATGTAAAAAAGATTCTATTCTACTCCATTCTATTGTTGCTGCTTGAAAAGATTTTCTCTCTGACACTGGCCAGGCGGGATGTGTGTTGCCTCAGAGAGGTCGACATCGGCTCCGATCCTCGGCGAAGGCAAACACCTTTCTCCCTGCCCTCTTCTTTCTTCTTTCTTCTCACTTTCTCTCTTTCCTACCTTCTTTATTCTCTCGATCCTCGCCGAAATCTCGGCCCTCATATGCGAGTATCGAACTTCCGCGTGACTAGTTAAGCGAACGCCCCGAGGCCATAATTTCTTAAGCGATTAAAAGGCGAATTTTACAACAAACCGCGCTTGATTCACACAGTCGCTACGGGATTAATCGAATTAGCCGTATGTATTACTTTTTGCCTTCTATTTAGGCAACTTACAACCAAACAAATAGGAAGGTAAATAGATCGTCTCTTTATATAACCATCGGAAGCAGGCGAGAAGATGTAGTATTAAATAGAGGAAATTAGAGGCCTGGAACACACCTCAAGTTCAATTTGAGCTCATTTTCGTGCGTTTTCACTTTCTCTCTGCTTCCGAAAATTATGTAACAGTGTCGTTTGCTTATCATCTCAGTTTTCACTCGAAGGTTTATTCATCAATCTATCAACGATATTTTTATCAACGATAACGACGTTATTGAGACTTTCTCTGCGACGCAGGTGATTCACGTGAATTCCATTTTGTGTTTCAGAACTAAATGATGATGCTAAGGGATTCGACGGGCAAGCATGAGGGAAAGAACACCCTCTGCCGACGACACCCCGAAAAGGGCCCCACCGGCACCAAGCAGAGGTAAGTTTCTTCGATAAGAATTTTTATGTTACAAAACGGGCGATAAAAAATAGTGAATGTATAGAGAAAGAATAAATACATATATGACGACATTAGTAATTATTTGAATGATAAGAAACTAGCTTTCTGTTTGAAAAAAAAAATCATGAAACAGACTATCACAAACAGACTCGCTCGTCAACAGTTTAAGGATCGCGCCGAGTCAACAACAAATAATGTAATGAATTCTTTCGTATATACATGCGTAGTGTCATATCTCCACTGCCTCGTATTTCATCGATGTATGTTTGCAGTAGACTCCCTTTTGAATTCTTAAATAAGTCCACAAAAAGAAGAATATTTAATAATGTGGGTTAAATCAGGAGAAAAGCTACAGAAAAATTTTGCGCGTTTATTCTTATTCTCGTCAAATTATCGCTTGACGAAAAGTTAATCGGATTTGTTAATTAATGTCAAGATTTAATAAGCACCTATTCCAGCAGAGAAATGAGTGCAAAGAATCGCTTTCCTTTAGAGAAAAGATCAGAATACTCTCTCGATCGGAAAGAAATTCCGAATCCGAATTTTATCTGGAGTTGCATAAAATTTGCGACTTAACCGTTGACTCCCTGAACATAGTTATAAATGCGAATATACAATTGCCGGATTACGATGGCGTAATGATTGTTTTCAAGGTTCTGACAAGGCAGTTATGACGCTTATATTTGCATCCGTGAAGCAGAAAGATGTATGTCATAGAACTAATTATTTTTTCTACGACATCTCATATGTCCAATTCTTCAATTAGACAGATTAATTTCAATCTCGGTTTAATTTAATCCTTTTCTAATATTTTCTTAATATTTATTTATAACTAGAAGTTAAAAAAATATTAAAGCGCGATAAAAATTGATTTACATTGGCAGAGACTGGACATTAGAGGCGGATAAGTATAAATTGATTCACAAATCAGGCAATGCAAAATAATAGATTATTAGATCCGCCTGACGTTTCCTTAAACAGATTTTATTACAAAAAAGGGATAATTTACATCCAATTATAGCTTACAATGATTTTTTTTATCGCAACATCGTACATTTGTATCGTTGTACCGCTATATACTCGTACTTGAAAGCCGCAGGTCTCTTTCATTCTGCAACAGCAACAGAACTTGTTTTCCTAATCAAAATAATATAGATATACGTTAAAACCCGTTAATTTCAGTCTCATTATCCTTATTATTACCTAATCACCTTCGACGTGGCGTACATAAACGCAGTGGCCGTGGTCGGGTCTCGCGTGCGTACATACGTACATGCGTGCGTGCGTGCGTGCGTGCGTGTCACGCACACGATCGCGCGCGTATCCTCGGCAAGTGTCGCGCGAAGCGCGCGGTGCACCGCGCGCGTTGGCGTTGCGCAACGCGCGTCCGTCACGTCCACGGAGCCGCGGCTCAGTTATGTATACAAAACACACGCGGGATTTTGAAAGTAGTCACGCTGGTCGGGATCGTAATCGCGCCGCGAGTCGTTGGCGGCTGCGGCTAAATAATTATCGGGCTTTTGCATCGCGCGCGCGCGCGCGGACGCAACAGCGCCGACGAATTCCGCGTCGACGAGCGCCCTCGGGCGATTGCCGCACCGACCGCGATTTTCCCATTAGGATACGCAGGTACATACGCGGGGCGGGATGTGTCCGCGGGATGTGATTCCGTAACGCCCAACTCGGACGTGAATTCGTACTTTGAAGTGACCCTCGCGAACTCGCGTGGACGTCACGCTACTCCCGCTACTCGAATCCTTTAAGCTCTTTCCCGTATCTCTTTTTTCGTGTCATCGATACTTATCGACTTCTTGGTATACCGCATCTTCCTTTATCCAATACTAGGAAACGTACGATGTGGGAAGAATGTCTCCTGAGAGAAGGAAATATTTTTCGCGAAATTTTTCCGAGGACAGTATTCCTCTGGAAGTAGGAAAAATTCCACGGAAAATTTTCTTGGGATTATTTCTGAAAATTACCCCTGAAATTATTCCCGGATGAGGAAAATTTCTCCGGAAATTGTGTCTGATATAATTTTACCAGGAAAGTATTCCGCGAGAAGATGGAGAAATTTTCATGCTGGCGAAAATGCAAATAAAGTGACGAGAAATATTTGACTTTAACTGAGCTTGTAATGAATAATCCATTAATAAATTAGTTTTCATTTTTTTCATATTTATTATATAACGTAATGATTCTGTGTTAATTTTTTGCTTGTTAATTCTTTCTCTATTATTAAGGATAATAAGGATAACGTAATTAATCGAGCCGTTGTTTGTGGCTTATTTTCGTATTAAATAACTTATGTACTGCCTCGTGAATTATCTACGTATGTACCTCGATACGTGACGGTGAAAATTACTCACTTTAGAGATTAAAATACAGTGGAGAGATAAATTACTCTGGGATAATCTTATTACCTTCCCTTGATAATAGGAGAAGTAATATTGTTCATTAAGAAAATGTAATTTTTTTTTTTTTATTCCCGACGACTTTGAGGCATTACATTAAACGGAAAAGATCTGAATTTCCTGGAACAGCATGTTTCTGATCGGGATCGGGGATTCTTTCGCAATTCTAACGATGATAAAATCCCAACGGATCTATATACTCCACGGTATCGCGGAAACCACATAAAATGTGGGAGGAGAAAACTCGGGAGAGACGAACGTGAAATAAATCGATATCTCGTAAAGTGGGGGTGGCGGTATATCGGTATCGTTAATAGTCCACGATAGGCAAACCATTAATTACCATTGTTGTCAACGCTTTTCGCAAAACGAGCCGGCTGGTCGAAGGGATTGTCGCGGGTATTACTAAGCCGGCCGGTTTTTACCACCTCGGGGCTGTTGTCAGGGGCTGTATGGTATAGGTCTATGCGTGCACACACACACACACACACACACACACACACACACACACACACACACACACGTGTACGGACGTGTGATATACGTGCATATCTATCTGCCTTTCTCTCCCTTTCGTAGCACACGCTACTCGTACAACCGTAACCCCTTTCGACGTGGCAGAGGGACGGTTATCGATTCTCACAGCTTCCCTTCTCCCCCCCCCCCGACTTCCGGATAAAAAAAGTGTCGGCAGAGACATAGTCGAGGAGAGAGAGCCCTTACCCTCTTTCTCTCTTTCTGATTTTTTCGCGGATAGTTTGTGTTTTTTTTTTTTCTTTATTTTTAGCATTTTTAATTCTTTTCCAAGAGATAAACATACGGATAGATATATCGGACGTTAAAAGTTACGGAAGGTTGTGTGTAGGATGTGCAGTGCAAAATGTTGGGATATATTTTGCGAGTTGTGAAATCTATTTTCAACGAAATTTGTAAATTTGTAAATTTGTTAGCTTGCAGGTGGCAATATTTTTTTAATAATCTACATTTTTTTATTTTTATGAGGAAATACTAGTTATTAGGCAATATCAAAACAGTAATCAATATCAAGAAGCAATTAAAAGAGCATTTATCAATTTATGTTATATAATATCTATTTTTTCATTTATACAAAGTGAAAAGTTACAATACACGCTAATATGTTTTATATTACAGTTATATTACAATAATAATTCCTATTTTGCAAATTCCTAATTATTTAATTCTAACATATTTTATCTCCTTTTTCATCGTTTCTCTCTAATTCGAAAAAGAAAATTGCGTCAACGTGATAAGAATTCAAATTAACTAAATTTTTATCTCTGTATTGGTGCGATTACAATTTGGAGTGAGACGGAGAATCGTTAATTAAGATTTGACTAACCCGCTCTATCGAAATACGATTAGAGCGGGAAATCGGTTAAACTAAGATTAAAATTAAGCAGCGCCGAGGTGAGCAAAGATTTCCACGATGAGATTACGTGAAACTTCGCCACGGGCAGCCCTAAATAAATAAACAACCGTCGTACTTCGCTTGTTTCTCAATGGCAGCGATTTATCGCCTCGCCGCGCGCTGTCCGTTTTTAAACAATTATCCTCGTGATCCAAAAATAAATTACACGATATCTATCGAGGGAACTTCGCCGAAATAGGTTCTCGAATTCATTTTTCAATGATTTCGAAAACGCGGGACATCTCGCTCGATAATTTCGAGCTTGCGTAAACAACGAGAGATTACAAAGAGCATCTCTTTTAGAGGCGGCTTCGGCGGACGTAGCTGGTAGCGAGACATCGAACGACGACACGATCGAGAGTTACCACAGGACGAAATTGTCCGGCACTCCCTCGGCGCCCGGCACGACGACGTCGTCCGACAGGATGGTAGCGTCGACGCAGAGCCTGGAGGATCTGGGCGTTAATCATCCCGCCAACGCGGCAGGGAGCAACGCCGATCGTCAGCAGCAGCATCAGCAGCAGCAACAGCAGCTACAGGAACGCTACGGTCATGCTTACAGGTCATCGGCGCAGACCGCCCAGGATAAGCGGTCGCGACTGAGCAATGTAATTAACAATCTGCGCAAGAAGGTGCCGGATGGAACCATCGGCGGAAGTTCGGATTTGCCGAGGAAGGAGGAGGGACGACCGGAACAGCGTCGAAAGAAACCTGGAGACTCTGGAGAAATATGTGATGACAGTGCTGAACGGTGTGATCAAGGACGACGAGGAAGAGGACAAGAGCGCGGAAAAGACGAAGGAGCTGGAGAGGCAGAGGAAAGAGCCCGATGAGGAAGAGGAGGAGGAGGAGGAAGAGGAAGAGGAGGAGGAGGAAGAGGAAGACCCGACGGATACGGCGGTCAAATCGAGTGACGGTGACATCGAAGCTGCCGTTGTGCCGCGATTAGAAGATTCTTCGACGATCGATAATGCCGAAGACGTCGAATCCTCGAAGACTACGGATTGCTCGAATACAAAAGAAACGGCAGAAAGTCTACAGGATTCGGAGATCAAAATTAGTCAGGATTTGAAGGAACTTTCCTCTAGGACGGAGGAAAATCATCGGGACGTTGAGGAAAGAGAATCCGAAAATGATCGAAACGTTTCGAGGGAGAAAACGGAAAGTCGGACGTTAGGTACGATTATAATGGACAGATTGAGTGAGCATCAGGTCGAAGAGAGGGCGAATGTTGACGATGGCAGAGGACACCGAACGTGTGAAACCGTCGCCTCAGAAAATACAGAGGTGCACGTAATCTGCAGGAAACTACTAGACAATCTATTGAACGATGTCTATCGGATGGTTGATGATCAGGAGAATCAGCGGAAAATCGAAGAGAAGCCGAAGAAGATCGTCGACGCGATCGAGTCGAGGGTAGAGGAGACCAAAGACTCAAACATTAATTATGTTCAGGAGCTGTCTGTGACGGGTCTTCATTGCAGTTTACCTTTGGAAAAAGTCGCGCCCGTACTTCAAAATTGTCACACGAGCGAGTCGGTGACCTCGCGACTTTCTTCAGGATCGCCTTTAAGTCCTTCGTCGGCACAGAAGTCGAAACCGTCGTCTAATACGACACCGCCGGTCAGACTCCTCTGTCTCTACTGCGACAGAAAGTTTCTGTCCATGTCCCTGCGGCAGCGGCATACGGAGAGATCGCATCAGCTCGGTGGTGGCAGGAGATCAGAGAGGAAAAATCTTCGAAAACCCTCCCAGAACTGCCAGTACTGCTCTGAGAAGTGTGCCGATACCCTGGAGGCACTGTTCCAACACATGGTCAGTAGCCATGGAGACAAGTACTACGCCTGCGTTCAGTGTTCGACAAGGTATCCCACTCGGGAAGCTCTGGTGGGACACATGGGCGAGACGCACGGTGGAAATGCCGAAAGGATCGGACAGGTTCAGGTAAATGTCGCGGAAAATCGATGAGTGATATAAATGCTATTTTGCGTGGCTTAGGATACATAATATTCCTTTCGCTTAGCTGGTTATTTATTGAACGTTAAGACTTATTGAATCAGTTTATTTCTTTATTTCTTCTGTTAATTTTGTCTTAATTTTTATTTCTTTTGTTTTATTTATTTATTAAATATTCATTACTGATTTCATTATTCTAATATTTATATTTCGAAATATCTCAAAAAGTATCTCGTTTTAATCTTTTTTCTTGTGTAATTATTTTTTATTTATATATTTTAAAATATATTTTTAGTTTATATTACATCTATATTTTTAAGTAACTTTAAACTTTTATCAGTGAGAAGATATTATTTTACTATTGAAAGAGAAGAACTAAAAACAAAAACAAATCCTAAGATAACTAAATAATAAGTCGCAGTGTAACGTTCCTTGTGAAGGACAGTAAAATCAAAATAGTAAGAAGAACAGAGAACACTTTCAGAAATTTACGCGTAAACACCGTCAGTTCTAGTTCTCTCATTTTGAAAAGTCTCTATTATAACAATACCTAAGTCTTCCTCATACAGTTAGGTAAGAATCCCTTTTTTCTTCCAGCCGGAAAAGATCAAAGAAGGCTCACCCTGCAAAGAATTTTGCAGTCAAACTTTACGTGAGAAGGTGAACATGTTGTCAGTAAGAGACAGAAGGTCCGAAGAAAAGGAATCGGAAGATCATGATGAAAATCGACGGACGGACAGCAGTCGAACGAAACTCATCGCGACGCGGGAACTTATCGATAATCCGGCCAGTCCCGAGTTCGACAGTTCCTTCTATAGCAACGTGAGCTGTAACATCCGCGAGAACTTGCTTCACCACCTAGACGGTAAATTGCAGACGATGAGCAGTCCGTCATCGTCGACGTGCACGCTGCCGACCGCTACCTCGAACTTGACGGCGCCGGCGACGGTGACGGCGACGGCGACGACGACGGAATCGAAATCGCCGCAACAACAACAACAACAACAATCGCAACAGTCATATTACGAGCACAACGTCACTCAGATCCAATTTCCTATCGACATTTCGTTAACCGCCGCGACGCCGGTTTATACCAAGGACTACGCAGCCAGCGAGGAGTATGAGAACTCGAGCGAGTACGCCCGGAAGGCTGGCAAAACCAGCAGCGGCTCGCGACCACGTCGAGTCTCCTTCGAGAAGTATAATTTCCCGCGCAAATATGACGGTAGGGAACAGTGGACGTGCTCGATCAAGGACCTCAGCAAGTTTGACATCTCCACGCAGCTGTCACTTCGGAAGAAGCAGCAGCTGATCAAGGAACGTCTCACCATCAATCGACTGCATCAGATTCCGTTGGTACCGAGCGAGACTACCGAGGTGTCTCTCCGCGATCAGAAACAGACCGAGCCCGTCGTCGAAATGGCGGCGAGTAATCAGGATGAAACCGATGCTGCCTGCATGGTCGATCCGGCTGTCGCGATTCCTGATGTCGTCTGCGAGTTTGGCGAATCGTCCCCAAGTGAGATTAAAAAGGAGACGACCGAAACGTCCGCGACCTCGAATTCGTCGGATTCGACGGCTATCACGGGCTTTAGCAATGAATTCTTAGACTTCATGAGACTGAGGAGGCGCGAGCAAGGTGACAACGAGGTTGTAAATTCTCAGGAGATTGTTTATGCGGAATTGAGCGGCGAATGGTCGCGAACGCGGATCTACATCTGCGGCGCTTGCGGTTCCAGACACGTGAGTATATAATTCTGTCTGTAATATTATATCCAAAACGTTAAGCAAAAATTAAATAAGCGAAGCGCTGATAATCGTAATAATTTAAATCTTAACTTTTATTCTTCGCAAATGTGATTGTTAGTTATTTATCTTCTCTCGACGTTTTATTTCTTGCAATAATTAAAATGTCAATCGATATGATATTGTCGAAGTTGTTTTCAAGTATTATCTCTTTAAGATTTTTTATAAGGTTCTTTTATATTTAAGAAAATACTAAATTTCGAATAAAAGGATAAAGGAATTAAAAAAAAAAAAAACTTAAATTATAAAAGATACGCATGTTTTCATAATTTTGAGATAATTCTAGATATTATTATCGCGTGGCTAATACATTTTAATTGGTGCGAATGTGATCTAGATAATTTATCAAGCAACGTACTTGATCTTTGACATTCCGTGTGATACATTGGAATCGAATGGTAAATGTTCGCAACGAGTCTTCCGACTCACGCAACTTTGTTTCTACGTTTTCTTACTCTCCAGTCATTCCTTCTCCGCAAATATAAAACGAAACGAATAATTTATTAAATGAAATCTGTAATATCGAGTGAAAAATGAACTCGTCCTTTTTTGACGACGTAAAGATTTATTTATTTACTGCCGCATTTGTTCTTTTCCTACGTGGCCCGATCGTAGATATTGAAAAATCGAGCGGAGAGGAAACCGTATGACATAGCCTTTCTATTGTGTCGCGTTAATCTCGTTTATGAGAATTGAAACACTACGTGTTTCTCGATATCGATCGAGAAACGAAACGCAACGCGGGGACGCAGCGAAATGAATCATCGATATTACCTGTGCAGGTGACGCTCAAGGAGATGGAGGATCACAAGGCTTCCACGCATCCGCGCGTCCTGTGCTCGCACTTCGAGCTGGCGGGCGATCAGCGCGAACACTACAAACACCTGTATCTACCGGGAAGAGATGCGCCAACCGACGCGGCGCGCGATGCCTCGCTCGCGGAGATGGTGTGCACCAAGTGTACCAAGAGCTGCCCGAGCATGGGCGAGTTACATCGTCACATGTTGGAGTGCGGTGGTGATCACGCCTGGTTGCTCGGCCTCAACGGCAGCGGCAAGAAGAAGTGCAAGTGGCGGCCGTTTGGCAGCCGTAGCCGTCGACGGCGTCAGCGCGGCATGAAGAGAAACATACAGAACTCGCAGACGCAGCCGCGAGTCGTCAACGCGGATCGGCCCAAGGAGAAACAGACACCGACCGGTCCTAGAGTCCGCCCGAGTGATCGTAAGAATCAAATTTGTTTCGGACATACTAACGAAAACTGGACCGGAGTCATTTCAATTTTCCGCAAGGGCTTGATATATAATTTTTTATCTCTTACACTACTTTGTAGACGCGCTCAAGAATGAACGAGTAAAAGGTGCAAGAAATAAATTAAAGATATAGAAATAGCTCAAACAAATGAAGCATTTTTTACAATTATCTTTTATATAGAAAGACATTTATCTTTTTTTTTTTATAATTACATGAATTGCAGGTTAAAAGGTATCGATGCAAGATATATATATATATGATGTGCTCTTTGTCTGCGTTCTTCAGTGCCTAGAGGAGGAAAATGAATTTATGAGAAATTAAGATTTGATTATCTTAGCCGTTAAGACTTACGAATCGTTCTCGTATATAGCTTCACTTCGATCCATCACTCAAATTTGTTCTCAGGCGAGAGTATCCAGAAAATGCTGGCCAATTTACCAGCTAAGAGAGCTACGAGGAAAGTTCTGCAGGACAGCATGATACGATCGCAGGGTCGACTTCGTAACGTAAGTAATTTAATAGCGTGGAACAATGACTGCGTTGCCTTCATAATACACTCGATCAAAATTGGATCGATATTAGAATTGTAAAAGGGTATTACGGCGCGTCAATTATAATTACCGGCTGCTTTAATTAGGATATTGACAGCATAATATCTATCTTAATGGACTCTCTATCTAAAGGTTTCATGATAATACTTGGTTGGATATTAGACTCGAGTAATTTCAATGCAGAAGTCACATGTGCCATACTTAAGATCGCATAATGAAAAGTTACTTAGAATGTCTTCCTTGATCTATTTTTAATACTTTAGTTACCGTTCAATTCTTATTATCTAAGAAAATTACTTAGTTTTTCTTAATAACGCTTCGAGTATAAAGAAAAATGATAAAATCGTAGATAACTTGACGTGATTTTGAGTATTAGCGAGACGAACCACCGATGACGTGACCAAGGGAACGTATTACTTGGTCAACTTGGGTGACGCAAATATCTCAAATAATCGAGGGAAAGTCACGAAAAACTCGAGACTCGTCGAAATAATGATAAAGCGTTATTACCTTGCGCGCTTCGTCGCACATGAACGGAGGCATCGATTAGTTGACATACGCGCTCGTCGAAGTATACATTTCCATGATCGTGCACACAATCACAAGCAGGGCGATTTTTATGCCGCCGTCGTACTCTTTTTTTTTTTCTCTTTCAAAACGTTGCTTTTCTCTCTCAAAAACGCGGTTTTGTACGTTTATCGACAATACATTTATGCAAAAGTAAATTGTAAGTAGAAATGTAATTACGTAAGATGAAAGTGTAAGAGATTATTAGCTTCTTGAAGAAAAGCTTAGAATTTCGTCAGAGCGACAATGAAATTGAATTTTTCGGCGCAAAAGTTGTAGCGGCATCTTTGGACTTTGTTGAAACAGGTGCAGACCAGAACGAGACCTCGCATGATCGGCGACAATTCGTCTCGGATCTCACGTAACAAAGCTGCCTTGAGGAATAAACTGCTGAAGAATGCTAAGTCGATTCAACGGAATCGTTGTCGAAGTGATAACATTGCAGCAGTGATCGAGAGTGTCGTGAGGAAGTGTCACGAGACCGAGAAGAAATTGGACAGCGATGGTGACGGGAGCACCGAAGCTGAGGACGAGAGTAAGAAGAATGCCAAAGAGACGAACGAAAGTTCGTCGAAGGCGATCGGCAAAGCTGCGGATGTCAATGATAAAACTGTTCGTACGAGGGTCGTTGGGCAACCTAAGGTTCTCGGTAAGAGGAGAAACGTGAAGAATCCGCAATTTCAAAGCAAGGACGGTAACAAGCTGGCGAAAATAATGGGCAAGTTTGTGAAGTTTAAGAATAGCGTTACGTCCGAAACGAAGAGCGAAGGCGAGGAGACATCCTCCCCAAAGAGTACACCAAAGAACGCAAAGACGACGCCGAGAGTAGCTGATAAAGACGAGGTCAGTCCCGACGGCAAGAAAATATCAACCGCTGGAATAAAAAGCAAAAATAAATTGACGCAGGGCATACTGAAAAGAAAGCGATCCGTGGATCCGGTGGCATCTTTGAACGCTTCTATCAAGGCGAAGTCACAATTACGAACGCAGGATGGTAAGTTTGCTCGTAATCCGAATAAGGACTCGTCAGCAAAATCGGAAACGAAAATGGATGACGGGAAACCGACCAAGGCTGCCGATTCGATCGAGGTTAAGCCAAAACCGAAAACGATGCAGAAATCGAAGAAGATGGAGATTCAACTGCCGCGAAGAGTCACCCGGTTGTCATCCGACAGCGACAAGATGCCAACTTTGGAACCAGTCGTGCAGATTGTTTCCTCTAATGAGGAATACGCCGATAAATCATCAAATGATTTGCCTATCTTATCGCCAGTGATAGGATCTCCTCAGGATCAGAAAGCGTCTCGAACTTCCGCAAAGAGTGTTCTGAAAGAGAAAGAGGCTAATGTCGATCTCGAGGTTGTCCCTGAAAAGAGCAAAAAGGAGCAGAAATCGACAAGAGAAAGAAAGCCGAAAGAAGAAACAAAAGATACAGCAAAGCGAAAGAAGACTGATATAATTGAAGAAAATAAAAATAATGTAGGGCTGCTAAAAGATGATAAGACGAAAGGCAGGAAAAGTTTGCCCGTCACAAGTAATAATAACGGCGAAAATAACAAAGAAGAAACGTCTAAAGGAGAGGTCATTGCAAAAAAAGATTCAAGATCGAAAAAGAAAGAATCATCGAAGAAAACTCGAAGCAATTGGAAAACTAGATTTGTGAACAAAGATTTCGTGTTGTTGTTGGACATCCCATCCGAAGTGAAGAAACTATTAAAAAATTTCTGTCCGGAAGATAGTAAAGAGGCTGTCCTGAACAGATTAGAACTTGCATCCAACGATTCGAAATACAACTTGAGGCAATCGATACCAGGATCGAAAGTGCTTCAAGCGAACGACAAAAATCCGAAAGAACTCGATGACGAAATGGAGGAATCGAAGGATATGAGCAAAAAGGAGAAAATTGAAGCAATTAGAAAACCGTCTAGGAAAAATGTCGAGAAGAAAGGTGACGAGAAGAAAACGAAATCGGAGAAGGATTCAGCTAGCAACGTGGCCTCCAGCGTAGCTAATGTGGCTCAGAACGAAAAAAGTCAACAAGATAAAAAAGATGGTCGAACTGTGAAGGAGATCGCGATCGATAGTTCCGATACGGAAAGCAAGACTGATAGCAGACAAACGAGAGGATCGTTGAGCGACAAGAGTGAGTCTGCCTTGGAAATCGCAAGCGATAGCTGTCGGAAGAACAGCGGTTTGCTGGAGAAACGTCGCAGTCGTAACAAGTCGGTCGACGAAGATGAAGAAAGCAACACGGCCATGTCGGAAGAACAGAAAAGCAGCGAAAATATTGCGTTAGGTGAAAAGGAAATCGGGAAAGAACTCGAGGAAGATACCGATAAAATCTCTAAGAAGGAAATGCAAGGGGAAGGCGACAAAAATTCCGATGATCATTCGGATTTGACGGTAGTGAACATTAATTTGAGCCACTTACAGTCAGAGACGAGCAACCTGTCCATCGACAGCGGCAAGGAAAATTCTTTGGAGACTACCGTGAACGTTCCCAGCAAGCTGAAGGTAGGAAGACCTAGGAAGACGTGGGGCGCGCGCCGCGAGAAATCGTCAAGGAAGAGATCCTTGAACAACGTCATCGGTATTCTGACGGAGGGCATGAATATCCCTGTTGAGGCGCAGCAGAGCGTGCAGGTACTCACGGTTCAGACCAGTCTAGACAATTCGGACAGAGTAGCGCGAAACGGGAGCGCGCAACAACCGAGTGGTGATGAGGACAACGTGCTCGCGGGGGATTCCGCGTTCAGTGAATTGTCGGATCTTGCCAAAAGCGAAACGGAATCTATGGAGAACGAAACGATTGTGGCAACAAGTACGACTGGCAACCTTCACACAGACAGCGAGAGGAATGCTCATGCTTGTCCTGACAAGGCGCAGGACAAAAATACCTTTGCTGATGGGAAAGTCGAGGTATCGCCGAAAGTCCCGATTGCTAAAGCGTGTTCACCAGCCAACGACATCATTCTCGATTTATCTAGAAGAAAACCCAAGGGCAAGGGTTCTTTCTTGGAGAAAATTGTATCGAAGATAGCCAAGCAGAAGGACGCTCTTCTAGAAGGTGAAGTAGGTTCTCTGCTTGACACCGCGGCCGATGAATTGACTAGTATCCTCGACGAGGTTGGACCTACTTTAGCTGATAATATAGAGAACACAAATTCTGATGAGACAAATCATAACTCGAAAAATTATGATAAAAATGAGACAGTTATGTCTGATGATAAAGAACTGCCCGCGATTGTCAATTCTGAAAATCGAGCATTGGAAAATGATAAAATCAATATTGAGAGTATGGTTTCTAAACATTCGACGGATTCGTTAAAGACTTCAGATGATCTCGAAGAAAACTTGACAACGAAGACTAAAACTCGAAACGAGAAAATTAAAGTAGATAATATTTCGGATGTTGAAATGAAAGACGATAACGTGAATAGACAACTGAGTGAGATAATGCATTCCACTGGAAAGTCGCTGGACGAATCTTGTAATAATAAATTGGCAACGAACGAAGAAGTAATTACTCCGACAGAAATTTTAGAAAGTTCTGCATCTGTGACCGATACTTCAGTTTCCTGTTCGCTAATGACGACGCCGAAAGAAAATTTAAGAAAACACGAAAGAAAGCAAGACGTCACGAAGTCCAGGAGAAAAGCTAACAAGAGATTCGCGGAGGATGCAAATTCCTTTAAGAAAAATAAAAAGAGATTAGAAATTGCCGAAGAAAATGTTGCACAGGAGAATTTCAGGCCAGATGACATCACATTGAAGTACAAAGAGGCGTTCGATATTATAAATGAATTTTCAAAGAAAGATGATACTACCATGGAGACTTTAAACGCAGATTCCGAAGTCGAGATACCGAAGCAATTGGATTTACAAAAGAATCTCGCGAAATCTGAAAAGGAATTGAATCTTGCGAAAGTCACCGATCTTCAAGAAGCATCTGCGAACATTGAAGAATCCATGGACAAAACGAATCCCGAGAAAGAAGTGACCGTCATCGTTAGTGTCCAGTTAACAGAATCAATCGAGAAGAACGCCGATTCTATGACGTTATCTTTAGAGGAGAACATAGAATGTGAAAAATTTGTAGATGAGTTTCAGACTCGAACCGATACGAATGAGCTTTCATCTAGGCGTACATCGAAAAGAAAATCACAATCTGCCTTATCTGAAACTTCTCTAATAGATGCTGCCACAAGTATCCCTCAAAATTCCGTAAGTTCGGCTGATAAGATCGCTGAAAAACCTTCTTCATCTACGAAGGAGCAGTCTTTGGAATCAAGTGATGCACAATCGATAAAAATTGGGACCACTGACGAAGACTCGGATGTTCCTTTAGAAAAATTCTTGCATTCTTTCATTGAAACAATATCTGAGAAACACAAAGAAACTACGGAAGAGAATCTTAATTTGCCCTCAAGATCACCGAAGAAATGTGACTCGAAGAAGAAATCGTTGGCTGATGAATATCTGAAGCTATCAGAGGATAAGTCTGCAAAAGATGCTTCATTATTCAACGAGGAATCCAATGTCATAGATTTTAACGAATCCTTATCCGTCAGCTTAGAACAATTTAAAATACCGGAAATAAAAGATCTGACACAGATCGCGAAGAAACGGGGTCTTCGAAAGAAATCACTCCCAGAGGATGGTCGCTGGAATGGCGGAAGCGTTTCCGAAGAATCTCGAATAACCGAGGAACCTGCGGAACTTGGCGAGATATCAAACTTAATCGAGGAAAAAATCGAAGAGCGAGAAGAAACAGAGAAAAATGTTGTGGGACAAGAATCGAGAATGAAGAGACTTGCGAGATCGAAGTCTTCAGGTTCAATCGGGCTTAATCCTTGTCTAACCAGAACGAGATCTGCGTTTAAGAGAAAGACACAGCTGTTGAACGAGGATCTTGCCGATTGCAGCACCCGAATTCAGAGCTCTGAAAGCACGGATGATTTGTCCGAGAGTTCATGCGCTAGCGAGTCCAGCTACTTCAGGAAGAAACGATTCGCGAAGAAGAAGAGGAAAGAGGAGACGACGGTTAGTGACAGCGCACGGGGTGACGCTTCTTTCACGGACTCGATAGCCCTGAAGAACGATAAACAAAAAGAGAAATCGGACAAGACCATATCGTTGCTCGACGAACACCTCGATCTCTCCGATGCGGACGACATTGACATTCCTATGGACATTCAAGCTTCGTTAGAAAATGCAGAAGCTTTGGAGAATATCGAACGGGAATTTGAACTTGCAGAAAAGTCTTTGGACTTGCAAAACGAAAACGCAGACAAGCCAACGACAGACGACGCAAACAAAGATTCTTGCGCCACCGAACGACCGGCATCGAATAATCACGATCCTCTAGATAATCCAGTCACCCCGAAGAAACGCGCGGCTGGTAATTTCGTGGTGGTACATAAAAAAACCGGTGAGATCCTGATCGTGGAGAAGAAGAAGAAATTAACGAAGGAGGCAGCTAGGTTCTTTTGCAACGTGTGCACTACCAGCTTTACTCGCAAAAGTTCTCTGAAAAAGCACACGTTGTCGCAGTCCCATTTGTCGCAGTTAGCAAAATCTACTAAGGACAATGTCGAGTCTATTAACAACGGTACACCTGAGAATACTGAAGAGAATGACAACGAATGGAAGAACAATGAAGAAAATGAGGAACAATCGAAGGGCGTTCCAGAAGATCGATTTCACGAAACCGATCAGAAGTCTTTGGAACCGGACGAAAATTATGTTTCTTACGCAGATAGTATGGAATCGACGAAATCTCTGGTAGATTTCGGAACTACGCGACAGACGTTGGAAGACAAACTGCTGGATGAGGAGATTTGTAAAATAACCGAGAACATGAGTCACGATGAATACGTTCTGACGGATCAAGTAACACCAGAAGAGCCGATGTTGTCGTCAACGCCGATAAAGCCCGTACAGAAAAAGCAAGAAGATTTGGGACGAAACAAAAATGGCGAGAAGAAGCGAAACAGATCGAAGAAAAGGAATCTGGCGGAAGAACATTTGCTCTTAGACTCTCCTGCGTTGGAAAAGTCTAAAATCGATTCAGACGAGCTTTCAAAATCAACCAACGACGTACGAGCTTTCTCGCCATCTTACGATCATACTTCAACAAAGGAAATGATAGAAACGATAAAAAAGATCGAAGGTGAAGAAAGTGTAGACATCGCTGAAGCAAAGAATCAGGAAGAATTAATTGTTAAATCTTTGAATGAGGAAATAAATAGTTCAAAATTAGCCTGCGACATCGATATGAAAATTGAACAACAAGTGGAATCCACAAGAACTACAAGAAGGAAAAAGGTTTCCAAAGTGGATAACGATGACAAAGAGGAGACTCCAGTTTCAACTGAGACGAATCGTTTCAGTTTGAGGCCCAGGAGAAGTAAAAACATCCAGCATTACGAAGAATCTGATTTCGAAGCTGATGTATATTTTATGGATACTTCTACGGAAATTAACAGCGACGAGATAGAAAGTAATTATGACACGCAAAAGAGGCAGAACGAAGTGGAAGAAGAAATGAACAGGAATGTAGCGCAAGAAAAGACGCAGATTGATACTGAAAATAAGAATTCCGAGGACGTGGAAGTCTCAAAATCGAAGACAGATTTGACGGGTGACACCAAGAAGAGGAAACGTGGCAGACCGAGACTTAAAGATCGAATTGTTCCGGATTCGAGTACTATTTCAGTTCAGGCGAAACCCGAAGTTAGCGAAAATGACGCTGGCGCTACGGGTAATGTTGATGAATCAAAAATCAAAGATCAAAAATTAGATTTGCATACCAAAGAACGTCTTGACGAGACCGGCAAGGCGCCACATGTTAATGCGAGTGCCCAACCTCCTAAACGGAGAGGCAGACCTAGAAAGAATCCTATACCGGTTGCAAACAATTCCTCAGTACAAACAGATTCGAGTGCCTCCGGATCAATAAAATCAAATCTCGACGTAGTGAAAGAAAAGACAGACGCGATCGAATCATGTTCCAAAACGCTTGTCGAAGAAATCGCATCGAATGGTTTGACAAGTTCTTTGAATCTGAACGCGGAATCTTCACCCGCCGTTCAGGATCATATCCCGGAATTGAGTTTATCCGAGACGAAGAAAGATCTATTAAATGCTGAAGAAGTTCAAAGTACCGAGCTGAGCAATTCCGAAGATTGGCAGAAAATAGAATCTGCCGATATTAAGACAATCGACACCATGCTCGTAAAGAATTGCGAGAATACGCTTGCCTTCAATGTTTCATCGTCGGAAGAAGATAAAGTTGAAATATCAACGCCGTCGGAGATGAATACGTACATTGATGATAGGGAACGTGTGTCAGAGAATAAATATAACGATGATATGAATGTAAACGTTTTAACGAATCTAACGACGATCGAAACTGCAATCGAGCTTCCTCCACAAGTGAGCGAACAAACATCGATCAGTGATTTGAAATCGATTGAATCAAAAGCGATCGAACCCGACAGCAATGAGATCTCCGACATACAGAAATTGCCAGATGTCTCAGAAGAAAAACAAACAAAGTCAGAAGGGGATTTCCCCGAAGAGGAAAAAACTCTCAACGTAAAGCTTTTATCAGAATCAAAAGGCAGCGAGGATGAAACGTCGATCATCGACGATAAATCTCTTCCCGTCGTAAGTTCTCACGAATTCCAGAAAACGATAGATAATTTAGAGAATGATAATATTCGCGACGAGGGAATGATCCAACTAGAGTCGTCCAACAAGAGATTATCTAGGAAGTCGACGAGTAAAGAACGAGAAGCTAAAAAATTGAAAACATCCAGGGGTAGAAAGAAAAAGGTCAAAGTTGCCGAATTATCTAGCGATAGCGAGAACGAGGATGACAGAATCGAATCTGCTGCTTCGAGCAAGAGTAAAATCGTGAAGAGTGTGTTCGGTCGAGTGTTTGGCGGTGAGAAGGCGGACAAGGTGAAGGAAGTGCTAAACGACTGGGTGTCGCGGTCGGAAGATGACTCAGACGTGTCTAGGAGTGCCTCGGAGGTGAGAATCAGTGTGCGCGGACCGACGAAGTTCCCTGAGAATCGACACAAGAAGGACAAGAAGTGCCACTCCGAGACGAAGAAGGATACCGAGCGATCCAAAAAGAAAGGAAGTGACAAGTCCGGCGGTGAGGTTCACGGGAAGTCGAAGAATCGGAAGAAGCGGGAGAAGGATGTCGAATCGATGTCGGAGAATTGTGCCGAGTCGCCGATCAATCCGGCTAAGCGAAGGCACAGAGAGAGTAAGATGAGGGCGGATGAGAAGATCCTAAGAACCTTCGACAACGAGTCGCCGATTGTTTCAGACGAGGATGATGAAATGAAGAAAACGAGCGATCAGATTAACAGCGATCATTTGAACGACAAAGATAAGGAGTCGAAGAGATATCTATACGAAAAAGAATTGAATAAAGAACGAACAAAGGATAAAAATTTTACCTCCGAGATCTGGGAGAGTCTTCAGGTCGGTCACGACGTTCATGGGAAGTCGAAGAATAGTTTTAGCTATCGTAAAAAGCAAGACGCTACCGCGAGGGACGAGTCGCCATCGCAGCCTAATGTGTTCAAGTGTAGACGGAGGGAAAGTAAGACCAGAGCCGGCGAGATGATCTGGAGAACCTTCGACATCGAGATGGAGACCGTATGTTCCGATCAGGATTCCAGCGAGATGGACGAAATTTCTAAGGAGCAGGAGAATGAGGAGTTTTACGAACCTAAAGATCATTCGAATTCAAAGAGCAAACAAAAGGACGATGAAGCTTGGAAAAATGTCAATTCGATGGATCAGGAAGAGAATGGAACGTACAGTGGACGCGGTAGGCTCAGAAAGGATTCGAACAGTCGAAAGAAACAGAATATCAATGTAATTAGAATCAGCAAAGCGAAGTCAGGTGAAAAGAGGGATTTCGAGAATGAGTCGCCGATTCCTTCGAGAGATCAGGAAACGAAGAACGAAACGCGAAACGATGAAACGGCGCGATCTACGAACGAATTGAGAAATCGATCGAAAACCTTGATCAAAGATAACATTTACGACTCCTACGGTGAGTCGATTGTCTCGAAGCACACGAGTAAAGATAATCCGGATAAATTGTTACTACATTTAGATCGGTCATCGAGTTCCAAAAAGAACAAAAAGATCAATGAGGATTGGAAACATTCGGCGAAAAACTTAGAATTCGATCAGGAGGACGATCAGCCGATCGAGAAGGAAATTGGACGAAAAGACGAGGAATCCGCAATATCATCGCGTAGCAGTTTATTGGCCGAGGGATTAATAATGAAGAATCAATTGGCTGATATCGATGAAACTTCTCAGGCGAATCGAGAATCCGACGATAACGATAGTGACGAGGAGGAGGAAGAGGATGATAATGATCTCGGGCGGCAAAGAATGTCGCCGCTTTACGCTCGCGAGACGCCCGACAGCTCGATAGAAAGTAGCTCCAATGAGGAAGAGGAAGAGGAGGACGAAGAGGAGGATGGTGAGGAGGAGGAAGAGGACGAGGAACGCGTCACGCACGAGGATAATTCCAGAAAAACGAATCCCAGCGAATTCTCCGGGGAGAAGATCGTCATCAGGTCACCGTCGTCGGGTCACAGGTCGGATGTGGTGACGATCGCGCCCACAGACGCCATCGAGGACAACGCTTTGGATGTACCGAGGGAGATTGAGTCAACGACGGAGACGCGGCAAGGCAAGATCCTTAACTTCGACGAGGAACTCTTCGTCGAGTGTTGCTCGAGATTGAAAGCCACCAGCGAGAACGAGCTGAGAGGCGCGAAGAAGATTAAACTGGATCATACGGAATCGTATCATAAACGAGAAGATCAACCGCAAGGATTCAGGGTTAATAGGGATCGTTGGAGAGATGTGGAAAGCCAAAACAGTCTCGGTAGTCTTCTAGAGTCGGTAAATCAGGTGAGTATAATGCGAGAAATGTGCTTAAATATATATCGTATATTAATGAATCAATTATTCTATACGCAAAATAACTGTATTGTTTATTTTATTCGAGTATTTAGTGTCTGTATTAGTTTATCTTGTTTAGAGATAAATATGAAGCTTTCAGTCATGGTAAATGGAGCTATTTGAAATTGTGATTGCGTATTTAATAGATTAAATGAAATTTTTCAAAAATAATGCTTATCAAAGTTTGATTAATTGGTAAAATAATTAATTGCAAATTTTGGGCGAACAAAATAAATTTGAATCAAATCTTGAATCTTAAATATATTAATTTTTTAAATATTACCTTCTCTGCTTGTTTTTAAGCCTTTTTTTTTTTTCACTTTAATTTTTATAAATTTGAATGTTCCACTATAAGATTTATGAAAAATAAATTTAAGATATATACATAAATCATTAATGAAAATTTATTGGTCTTTTTCTAATTATAATTAGAAAAAAAGAGAAAAGTACATATGTATGAAATACATGTTATTTGAAAAAAATTCTAGTTGCTTGGCGAGGAGATGTACAACAGCCATGATAAGAGCTATCGAACGCGCGGCAGTGAACAATCGAGCAGATCGGCTAGCCCGGACGCGTCGCGAGTCGACAATCTCGGCTACGAAGACAGCCTGGACGTGGCGTTTGAGCACAATAACAAACTGCGAGATAAGATCCAGCAGCGCATGAGGGAGAGCGAGAATCTAATAGCCAGCACATTCGGCCAGAAGATCAATGATGACGATCATCCTGATGATGATAAGCGGGACAGCGTTGGAAACTCGTACTCTTCGAGTATTCACGAACACGAGCAGTTGTCAATGTCGGTCACGTCGGATAGAGAGCCGCCAGAGTCTTCACCAGGGCACAAAAACAAAGTGAATTCAGCATTAGGCGGTCTGCATAAGGCGCTGCTGTCCAACTTGTTGCACAGCAATGGCAAGCATGATCATAAGTAAGTATCCTGATTCTTAAATTCTTATATTTATATGGCAACATTTTTTTTATTATGATCACATAGTGAGAAGTTTCGGGAAAACTACAAATTAACAACATTTTATTAATATAATGAAAATATATATTACGATAATGAGCTTTTCAGTTGGACGTGAATAAGCTTGATAAGTTTAATAAGCTCTTGAACTCGGAGAAGGTTCTTCAAATTCATAAGTGCTTCATGAATAAACTCGCAGGATTTTCTTGGCCATACAGGCCGGTGTTTACAGACTTACGCCAAAATCTTGTTTTTCTGCTAAGTAACTTAATTTGTTTTCTTAGCGCGCTTACAAGAGATACAGTTTGCTATTCCGTTTTTATAGGCACTACCTACCTGGATGTTAATGCTTCGAAGTTTTATCTTTGTATATAAAAACACAAAAGCACACAAATTCGAAATTCCGTAGAACGGATATGTGAAGTTAGTATTGTATGTGATTAAAAATATTCCGCTGTATTTTGCAGAGGATGGCTCGCGTATCAAAGCGCATTTTTCAGTTTCGCATCGGTTCAACACCTGTTGATCCGCTCGTTTATCCGTCCGCGCTGCTATAGCTTTGCTTTCATCCGATTTCTCGGTTACGCTAAACTAGATGTAACGTATGATTGGAGCGTGCGGAAAGACAGCCGGTTTTTTTTTTTTTTTTTTTTTTAATCTGAAAAAAATAGTCTCGCTGTATTGCGTCGAGTGATTGCATTCCTGGAGCGCCGAAATCGAGCTCTGTTGAGCTTGACGTTATGTAAAAAGTGCGCCGCACACAATCCGTAATGTAACCCCGGCGAATGTTGTACCCTCTTCGTTCTCCACTCGAGCTGGAACCTATTCGAGCGTGTCGATGCTCGATTTTCACTAAGGATGGTCGAGAGACCATCGTCGAACGATGCCCAGTCGTTCGCGTTGCGTATTGATCCGCTCTCGTCACTCCACCCTATACGCGATGAACAATCTCTCCCACAACAGCACCGACTTGTAGCGCCTTGCGATAGAATTTATGGACATGCAGCATTTAGAATGGAGGGCAGCCTAGCATAGCGTTCATTATCCCGCTAATTTATTTATATGCACACATGTTTCTCCGCTTTTGTTTGGGGAAAGGAGAGAATATCTATATAAATGCAATTTTTCCTATAATTTTCGGAAGTAGAATAAAGTTTAAATAACATATATCTGCAATGATATCGATCGTTTAAATGTCATAATTTGTATTAATTTTAAAAAAGATTTGTTAGAGTGAAAAGATTTATAAAAAAATGACAGTCCTCATGTACACAACATTTATTTTTTATATCTTCTTATTGATCATAACGATATCTCTTGTTTTATGATGTGTTATCATAATTAGTAAAATTTTCTTTGTTATATTTGATTTTATTCTCCATCAATGACTGCTTGAATAACAATGGACGTCCGTTATTATTGGAAATCAAATTATTCTATTAAACCCTTTACAAAAATATTCTTTAATTTCACGTTTTATTCACCGATATATTCGACGATTGAAAAGTATTATTGAAAAATAATTCCACTTATTTTCTCTATTTGTCGTCAAAATGTAAAACTTGTTAAAACTTAATGGACCATAGCCATCAAGAATGCAGCAGCTTTTAATGAATGATCGCAATCTGAATATATCATCTACGTGATCATATTTTCTATGCAATTAATCGCGTGTTTGCACGCGGATTTAATAATGAATCTCACTATCGTTTATCGATGTATGAACAATCTCGCTCGTCAATAAAGCTGTTATAAACCAATTTCGTTCTGCAGTGGTTCCGCTCCGATGAAGCTGTTGGCGGAATTAGCCTGCGCCCGAGCCCCGACCTCCACGTCGCCGGAGGTTACCACGAACAGCGGCAGGAATCATCAATCGGTGAAGATGGTCGCGGCGGCGGTTGCGGCCGCGGCTGCAGCTGCAGCAGCGGCGGCGGCGGTGACGACCAAGGATGCCCCGATTTCCCCAAAGAGGCCGACGAAGGACAGCTCGACAGTAACGTTGAAGAGCACGTTGACGAAGAAGATGAGGAATCCCATCAAGGAACTGTTCGAGCGTAAGAAAGAGATGAATGACAGGAAGGAGCAGCAGGAACGTTCGAAGACCGCACTTGTCGAATTAAACCTACAAAAGCCACGCAAGTCGAAGAAGAATAAGAAACAGCAGCAGGAGTTCCCGCTAATTCGTAGGAACGAGCACTATGGCGGCTTGGTGGAGAAGAAGAAACGCCGCGATTCTCTTGATCGGAAAGTGGAGTCGGAGAGAATAAAGGATGTGTACGAGTTTGATGAAGAGGAGAGCCAAATGGCGCCTGCTCTGGGTAGCGTCATGTCCTACAGAAGCCAAGTCGATAAGAATTATGATATCAACTGGTTGAAGACGAGCACTACCGACGGGGACTTGGATGTCGCTTTGGAAAACGGCAAGACAAATTACATCGCGAATTCTAAGTTGGACGCTGTGATGAATCGTAAGTTTCAGGAACTGGAGAAGTTTGCACCGAAGACGAAGGGCGCTCTGAAATCATTTCAAAGCGAGGAGCAGCAACAGCAACAATTTACTGAATCGATTACTGGACCGATGGACGAATTTGTTGAAAGAAAGCAGCAACGGTTAAAGCGATCCATGGAGCAGAACGTCAAATCTGGCAAAATCAAAAAGAGAGGTAGAAGCTCGAAGAAGCGAATTAGAAATGCCTGGTACGAGAATGATAGCTCGGATGAGTTCAGAACGGCTGCAAAAGCAGAGGACGTCGGCGTTGGCATTTCGAAAAGTCAACGTTCGTGCTCGAAGGGCAAGCAAAACTTGTTCGCGGAATTGTCGACGTCATCTGAGAGTGAATACGAGCGGGATGACGTCGACTACGCGATCGCGAACGAGCAACGTCCATCGAGATCGAGGAACAGTCTAAAAAAATCGCTCGACATTGACGTCGACGAGACGGATGACCATCGCACAGTCAACGAACTCGAATTCGACAATGAGAATCAAATCGCAAACGATTGGAATCGAGCGATGCAAGAAAATGTTATGAAAAACGATCACGATGCCGCGAAATCAGAGTCAGAAATGTCGGATCATTCCTTGATAATAGATGAGAGAAAAACGATCGACGAGGCGAGAAATAGCGACGACGACATCGACAATCAATACGAGAGGACGTTTGAACTGGAAGATCTATACAGGGATGATAGTTCGGATGCCGAGACGGAAGTCGAAGAAAACGAAGAGACGATCACTGAGGAAACAAAGAACACAAGCTCTGAAACGCAAGCATTAGATGAAAATGCAATTTCACAGACAAAACTTGCTTCTACAAACACGAAAGATGATTCTATACCGGAGAACGAATTGATTCCCTTAGAAGAAGCTTTGGATCTTCTAGATCAGCATGAGAATCTTGATTCGAAAGCTGAGAATGTACGTGCTGAGAACAACATCATTAATGGCATTGCGGATGAAGCTTCTAATGATGGAATCGTTAATGAGGAGATGGAGAGTAAACGTTCGAGTCCTATAGAAATGCGAGATGAAAAAGAAGAAGCGGATGACGATATTCCGGCTTTGCCGGAAAAACTGTCCAGCAATGAGAAACCGCAAAAAGAGTCTGATCACAATCTTCCTCTTCACGTGTTTCTTAGCAGAAAGGTGCAAGAATCGAAAAAGAGAAAGCAGCAGCAGTTGGATAAGTTACGGGAGGAGCAGGAGAGAATACTCATGGATTTTCAGCCGACTAGAAGACAAAGGAAGTGCGCGATAGGCAAACAAGGTTTACTGGCGGAAATAAGTAGCTCAGACGAGGAATCGTACATGAGGGATAACAGTAGGAAAGGCAACGATCACGATAAGCCGCGCAAAAAGAGAGAGTCGAAAGAAAAGAGAAAGGAGAGGTATCTCGAGAAGAAGCACGAGCAAATGATTGCCAAGGAGCAGAAAGCGATCGAAGAGGAAATTCTGCGAGAGGTCGGCAAGAGAAAAGAGAGTCTCGCGCAAGGCGTAGACGATGTCGTATCGAATAGAGACGCAGCGGAAAAAGTTGTCTCTGGACAAACTCAGAAGAAGAAACATCAGACGAAGGAGAAACACAAGAAAAATGGCAACGAAAATATTGACGAGAATGATGGTCAGGCTTCTCTAAATAGTTCAGAGGACAATCATAAGTCAGATTGTATTTTCCCTATCGTAGAGAGTACCACGGAAAACAATAGCCATCCGTTATCTTCATTAAAACGAAAGAAAATTTCGAAATCACCAGCAAAATCGAAAAAAGTTTCCAGACCTGAGAATGGAAAGATCCCAACGAATAAAAAGAACAAAGAACTAACCGCGGAAAAAACTAAGAAAACGTCCGCGAATAACAAAGACTCCAAAGAGCGTAGATCGTCCAGCGGGAAACGCGATTCCGATGACGAAGAATTAAAGACCACTAAGTCATGGAACAAGGTCGAAGAAGGCGTCGGAGTCGCGATTGGCCGCCGGAAACGTACCGCTGCTCTTCAACTATATTATTGGTCCAGTTCGAGTGATGAGGAGGAGGCGCCTGAACCGACCCCAGCGCCGGAAGAAGAAGAGGATGATCGGCAGGAACAGCACGGCTGGATAGTAGGCGATTCCCACAAGCGGATGATTACGATGCTGGCGATGGAGAAGCAATTGAAGGAGAAGCGACGCAGGAGCGAGGACGAGTTCGAGCCGAGCAAGGCGAAGAGCAAGAAGCATCGAAACAGCACCTCTTGATACGTGTTTCACGATTAAGTTCAATTAAACTCGCGCGATAGACGCAGTGCAATAACTATGTCATCCTGTTGATCTAGAAACGTAGAATATAAAGGCGAAAATCGAGGTGGAAATCGAAATTACATTCTATATCTTTCATGCTGATCACTTGTGGTGGACTGTTTCGGTAGATAGCAGTGGACAAGTTACAACCTGCGATCTACAGTCAAAAAAGTATATATTGTGTTCGATCTTTTTTTTTTTCTTTTTGTTTCTTTTCCTCATTAGCGAACGTTGCGAGCGAAGTGGAAGTGATTCAGACATGAGTCAAAAAAAAGAAGAAAATCTATAATGTACATAGCTGCTTGGCGTTAGAGATTAGAGAGTAGAAGAATATCCTCTCCCGTGTTGCAATCTAAGAATATACGCATATATAAATAAATCGAGCTCTTATAAATACCGGAAGTACGTGATATAGACTGAACGTGAGAAGTAGCAGAAAAGTGAAGAGAGCACTCTTAGACAATACTAGGACATTTGTAACGTTTAGTTGTACGTAGGGGAGTCTCCCACAGGAAACGGGTGAGATAAAGAAAGAGGGGGAATCAGTCACAAGTCGCTTATTTAGGAAAGGACAACGTAAAACCGGGTCCAATCGAGTTTAGTGCTTCTACCAGCTTTTTTCGTGATTTGTAAAACGTATTTCTTCGTATTCTTGCATATTCTTACATATTCGTACGTATTCTTACATATCGCAGAGAATGGAAAAACATGAAGTCACGAAAATATTTAAAAAACGTTCGAAGAGCCTAAGTGCTCACGACGAGCGAAACGGAAGAGTCAAATCTTTCTTGACCTTTTGCACGTTATTTTTACGAATTTTCTAGATCTCAAGCTTGCGTGTGTAACCCGCCACGCCGAAGAGAAACCGATGCTTTATTAATACGTGAAACGCGCGTGTATCTTTTTGTTTTTTTCTTTCGTACTCGCCTCGTGCACATAGGACATAAGCATGTAGATTTTCATATATTACGAGAAAATGTTATATATGTTATAAGCAAGTGACAGAAAAAAAAACAACGTTATAGACTAATATGTAAATGTACTGCCATAATCATATATGTATATATATATATATATATATATATATATATGTGTGTCACATACATGTGATATATATACATATATAATACGAAAGCCTATGCAAAAATAGTAATTAATATTATTTCTGTAAAAATTTAAAAAAGGAAATCTAGCACAAAACTAGGCGACGATCCAATGTAAATAGAGCATATTTTCAATGTGTCTGGAAAAGTATGTTTTGTAATATAAGGATTGCAAAGAAAAATAAAATTATTCGAGAAATTCATTTTTTTTATTTTAGTACAAAATGGGAAGACATCCTTCATTCAAAGAAATTGATATTTTAAGTTATACCGTATTTTATTAAGATAATATATAAAATATATATTAATAAAATTAAGTTGTTTATATATTAAAACATTCGAATTTTGTATAATTTAAATTTGTTTTTTTAATTTTTTTTCCTAACACGAATACTAGGAAATAATATGACCAATTAAACTAGTTTTACTTAGTTTTCCGGAAGTGACTAGCTATTATGTGATATTCAAACTGGACAGTCTAGGAATTTTTTTTGCTGTAATTTGGTATTATTTTAAAAGGGAATAGGGACATGAAACAATCTTGTGGCAATCGTGCAATGCGCGATGTTCCCGACAAGTGGATTTCTGAAGGTGTATGTAATATAAATCCGGGTTGTCGGCTTTTTGAGACATTTTACACCTTTGATTCTTTGACTTACGTCACGTGTACTTCATAACGCATGCACAAAAAATTTCGTGAATATTTTTCGCCCATCAGAAACGCTGTTATTTGTCGACGACAGGCAACGATCGCTCTCGTACAATGGAGCAAATCATATGTGGAAGATTCGGGTAAGATAAACGTAATTCTAATTGAAAGAAAAACGAACCAATGAATTGTCTTCTACTGTCTTTCAAAATTTGTACGTTACATAAAATTTAAATAAAATTTGTTATATTTATTTATAATTTACATTTCTCGTACCGGAGCAAGTGCTCACTCTGATAGGTTAGATTCTAATATTGTTGTTATTAAAGCAAATTTACACGTAAAAAAATAAGTTTTTTATCCTGTATCATTAAAAATGTGTTTATATGTTGTCATCTCTTTTATATCTCTTTTTTTTAATTTTTCTTATTTAAATCCTTAAATATATAACCTTTATAGTTTATTAATTTTGGATCTCCTTTCCTAATTAAGTCAATATATTTTTTCTCTTTGCAGCCATAGCATTTTACTAATCTCCAGGCATCCAGTAACAATCGTTAGTACGCGAAAATTAATGTCCGGAAAATTTAATAGAAACTGCAGACCATTGTTAGCATCGCCACAACTAAGATACTTTGCAAATCCACATCGTGGATATGTGATGATAGTAACAAGGATTTTAAGGGGTGCGTTAAAGATTCGATACCTTCTTTTAGGAGGTGCAGTCGGCGGTGGCGTTACTCTGCAGAAGGTAAAGCTTTGTATTCATCTTGATATGCTGCTTCCATATTTATTAATTATTGTTAAATATAATTATATTTATCAAGTACTATTTATCAAGTTCTGTTATAATCTTATTCATGTATAGAAATATGAACAATGGAAGGAAGGATTACCCGATATGAAATGGATAGAAACTCTGATGCCCAATGAAAAACAATGGCAAGATTTTCGTGAATCGCTTTTGACGCTTAAGACTAATGTTGCCGATAAAATTGAGATCGGTAAGCATGATGATATAGCCAATATATGACCAAATAGTATTAATGGAAATAAGGCAAATTAAAGTGCATTAACAATATGCAATAAAAAAATTTGCCAGATCCGCGTATAAGGGAATTTGGATTATCTAAATATCAGGAATATAGAAATTGGTTTGATCAAAGACTAGATAACGCTATTAAGGCAGCAGAAAGCCATCAGGATAATTATCAAGAGAATAATTCGCAGAGTGAGTGCATTCTATTCTTTAATTATTTGTACATCGCGTAATTCCTTAATAATCCATAATTATTTATCCTTTTTAATAATCCATTCATCTATTTTCCTGACATTTCCTTATCAATAATGCTAATCATCGCAGAATACAGATTTAATATAATCCAGTCTTTAATTGTTATTTCATATATAATGTTTAAATTTATTGCTTGTATGCAAAAATGCGCATGATAAAGCAATTTACTGTATTACTATTAATTTACAATTTGGTTTGTCTATTATTTGTAAAATATATTTGTACAATTACAATTTTCATTTCTAAAAAAATTTTTATTTTAAGATATGAATACTTTATGTAAATTTAATAATAATTTATTATTGCAAAGCACTATTCCACATGCATTTGGATTTATTTATTATGGTCTGTTCTGTTCAGGTGCATTTGATACTATCTCGATGGTAGCTAAACAAACTTATTCAGGTGTGTAAAGATTTTGAAATTATTTCACACGTATTCTGTCCATTCAGCATTTTACAGATAGACGATTTCTATTGAAAATTATTTTATTATTAACATTGGAAATTTTCACTGATAAATAACTGTTTTTAAATATAACTGCAGAATACAATGATAATGGACACAAACACTTTTAAATACTGAATGGGACAGAACCATTATTTGCTGCTTTTGTTTTGCACACTAGCACTTACATATACAAAGCATCATTAATTTTCATCATGCTCGCACAAAATTGCTTATGCTTAGATAATTCTATCAATTTTTTTATAATACCAGTTACTAGCTTTCTTGCAATTACAGAATAAATTATAAATTGTTATAAATTAAAAATACATTATGTCTTATTTTTAAACAGACACAAAAGAGCAGTTGTCTAAAAATGTGGTTGCATTTGCACGTCCATTGGCTAGTGATAATATTGAAGAGGAACGTAAGAAAGCTCGTACGTATATATCATTGATTTATGATCTCACAATAAAAAATTACTTGACTTTTTCTTACAATATCTCTTGTTGTTTCTGTTAAAGAATCTTCACAGCAAAGAATGAATGCTATGCAAGACGAGTTGATGCAGATGCAATTAAAATATCAACGTGAAATAGAGAGACTGGAAAGAGAGAACAAAGAATTACGCAAACAGATACTTTTACGGGGAAGCCAGAAGTTTAACAATAAAAAAATCAAGGTAACTTGCATACACGCCTAATATATGATTTGTTTCATTTGAACTTCACATATTTTTTTTACAGAAATCATTAATTGACATGTATAGCGATGTCTTGGATGAGCTTAGTGATTATGATAGTGCCTATTCTACTGCTGATCATTTACCTAGAGTAGTAGTTGTTGGTGATCAAAGCTCCGGGAAAACATCCGTGCTCGAAATGATTGCTCAAGCGAGGATATTCCCAAGGTACTTGCTTCTCTATTTTATATCATTTTATATATTATTTGATCGAGAATATTAATAATGTTAATGAATATTATTACAGAGGCGGTGGTGAAATGATGACGAGAGCACCAGTTAAAGTCACATTAAGTGAAGGTCCTTATCACATAGCACAATTCAAAGACAGTTCCAGAGAATTCGACCTCACGAAAGAATCGGAATTAGCTGAGCTCAGACGGGAAGTAGAACTGCGAATGAAGAATAGTGTTAAGAATGGAAAGACAGTCAGTCCGGACGTCATTTCTATGACGGTGAAAGGACCGGGTCTTCAACGTATGGTTCTAGTCGATTTACCTGGTATTATTAGCGTATGTAAATGATACTTTTATACTATAAATCTTTGAGAAGATTTGGTGGTACAGTTTAGAAAATTCTTTATTGCTCTCTCGAGACAGACAGTGACTGTTGATATGGCAGAAGATACTCGCGAGGCGATCAAACAAATGAGCCAGCAGTATATGAGTAATCCTAACGCGATTATTCTCTGTATACAAGATGGCTCCGTCGATGCGGAAAGGAGTAACGTGACTGATCTCGTGGCTCAAATGGATCCGTCAGGCAAAAGAACGATCTTTGTTTTGACGAAAGTATGAAACGTTCTTTTCTTTTTACATTAATCAGAAACAATACAGATATCACTGCAATGTCTTGTGGCAGGTCGACATGGCGGAAGAGAATTTAACAAATCCCGAAAGATTGCGTAAAATATTATCTGGCAAACTATTTCCAATGAAGGCGTTAGGCTATTTTGCCGTAGTCACTGGCCGTGGCAGACAGGATGACAGTATACAAACGATTAAAGATTACGAGGAGAAATTCTTTCGCAATTCTAAACTTTTCAAGTAAGTCTAGAAAAGTTTGTCTAGAAATATGTTTTACATAAAAAAACGTATTTCAAATATTGTCAAAAACGTTGACAATATTAATTGCGATTGTTGATACATTTCTGATTATTTAGAGATGGTTTAGCGATGTCTGGTCAAGTGACTACCAAAAATTTGAGCTTGGCGGTAGCCGAATGCTTTTGGAAAATGGTTCGCGAAACGGTAGAACAACAAGCGGATGCATTCAAAGCCACGAGATTCAATTTGGAAACAGAATGGAAGAATAATTTTCCGAGGTGAATAATTATAGGAAGCAGTTTTAATTTCCTCAACTTTAATTTCTTCAACATTTTATTATTACACTTAGATTGAGGGAGCTGGACAGAGACGAGCTTTTCGAAAAAGCGCGAGGTGAAATTTTGGACGAGATAGTTAACTTATCCCAAGTATCGCCGAGACAGTGGGAGGAAGTGCTAATGGCTCGAAATTGGGATAAAGTCAGCATGCATGTTTTCGAGAACATCTATCTGCCTGCTGCTCAAAGCGGAAATCCAAGTATAATATACGTATTGATAGATTCTTCCCGTTAAACAGACAGAAAATAAACGAACGTTCTTTTGTTACAGATACATTTAATACTACTGTTGACATTAAGCTCAGGCATTGGGCAGAACAGCAACTGCCTGCGCGTAGTGTTGAAAGTGGATGGGAATGTTTGCAGCAGGAATTCCAGAATTTTATGACGCGGGCTCGGCTTAGTCCGGATCACGATGATATCTTCGACAACCTTAAGAATGCCGTTGTGAGTGAGGCAATGAGGCGTCATTCATGGGAAGAGAAGGTAAATTTTTCAATTTATTTTTATCTTTTGTATTTCTATAAAAATTTTCGATATTAACAAATTAATAATAAATAAAGGAAATTAAGAAGCATATTTTTTTCTTATTTTTCAGGCATCAGAAATGCTACGTGTTATTCAACTTAACATTCTGGAAGACAGAAGCGTGAATGACAAACGTGAATGGGACCAAGCGGTACGTTTTCTAGAAACTTCGGTTAAGGAAAAATTACAAAACACAGAACAAATTTTGCGCGATATGTTGGGTCCTAATCGCAAGGAACGGTGGCTGTATTGGCATTGTCAAACCGAGGAGCAACAGAAACGTACGGCAGTTAAGAATGAGCTAGATAAAATTCTTTACGCTGACAAGGTACGCATATACAATTGCAATTAAATAAATCTTATTTTTGTTATGTTTTTATAAAGTTTATGTTATATATTCTTAACAGAAACACTTACCTTACAGAAACACACACCTACTCTAACGCACGACGAGCTCACAGCTGTTAGGAAGAATTTACAAAGAAACGGATTAGAAGTCGATAATGAATTCATTCGAGAAACGTGGCATCCTGTATATAGGAGATTTTTCTTACAACAAAGTCTAGCGAGAGCATACGATTGCAGGAAAGGGTATTATTTATATCATACTGGACACGAAAGCGAAGTACGTGAAATAGAATTTATATATATTTATGTGATTATATATAACTTTTTGGATGATTTCATAAATAGAATGCTTTCAGATGGAATGCAATGACGTAGTGCTCTTTTGGCGAATTCAGCAAATGCTGAAAGGCACTGCGAATGCGCTCAGGCAACAAATCATGAATAGAGAAGCTCGAAGATTGGAAAAGGAAATTAAGGAAGTTCTTGAGGATTATAGTCAAGATAACGAAATCAAGCAAAAGTTGCTTACAGGCAGACGAGTTGTATTAGCAGAAGAACTCAGTATGTATTGCGGTATTTCTTTATATCGTTAATTATTTACCTAATTTATAAAAATATTAATCTTTTTCATAAAATTGAAATATTTTTATATTTTTAATGTAAGAAAATTTAATTATTATTATTAAATTATATAAATAAATTTTAATATACGAAATGTAAAAGTAATAAATGATTGGTATTAAATATTTAAAAATTTTGTTATTGCTAGATTGTATCGCTAACACTTTTATTTTCAGAACGGGTCAGGCAAATTCAGGAGAAACTAGAAGAATTTATTCAAGCGCTAAATAAAGAAAAATGAACGTGTCGTAAAGGAAATATTAAAATTGAGTACTATATTGCCCACAGAGCGAATCTTTGATGTGATTCGCGAGATTGAACGGAGATAAATGAATATTTAAAGATTAATGTCTCGAGAAAAACCGGAGATACACATTGCAGATTTCTATACTTTGATTCGGGAAACGATCGGCGATTGAAGTACCGAATTCACGACTCGTTGGGCAGATTAATGCAGATGTGTAATGTCTCACGTAAGCGACTGCCTATGCTGTTAGTAACTTTATATAACATAAATTATAATAAACTGCAATCTGATACGATTTAGATGTAAATATGTGATATGTGATTGAAACATAAAAGAATCTTATTTATATGTACTAGGATTCTTAAAATATACTGAATAATAATATTATAGTTGTTGGCTAAACTATCATGTTGATACAAAAGTGCAATAGTACAATATTATCATGTTATGATAATAAATCTACGGTATTATGAGCGATAATGATGATAAAAAAACGAGACTGTTATTAGATAGAATTTGCGAATATAAAATAAATGCAAAAATTATAGAAAATGTACAAAATGCTTCGAAGGAACTAGTAAAATATTCATGTATCTGACAAGTCAGTTAATGACTAATATAAAAATTTCTCTAATAGAAAATTCAGGTACATTTGATGTTACCATTTTGTTTTATGCTAAAAAGAAAAAAATTATGACTTTTTTATTATTGTATTATTCTAACAAATTTATCATCGAATTTACATTCGGAAAACATTCTTTTCTTGGGAATAGTTATATGAATATGTCTCGTAAGAAGCTTATATTTTTGGCAGCTATAAGTATCTTTTTAGACACACAATAAGTGTTTAATAAACTTGTCCAAAAGAATAAAAAATTAAAATATTTCATCATTAGCAATTGTAGTGAATTGTGTATATTGTATGACTAAATCTAAAACTCATGACATGCATCTTTTTGTGTTGAATAGCATGAATTGGTAAATTGTTAAAAATAATAAATTATGCATTTTCAATTATTGTAGGAAAGAAAAGAAAATGTATAATAAATATAGCTAGAAATTGTAATACTTATATCCACTTCTACCAATATAAATTAACTTTATATGTTTTTTTAATTTTAAGAAAAAAATAAAAAAGTTAATTGGAAAAAAGAAATTAAGTCAATCTATATTGGTAAAAATAGACATCAGAATTTTGCCTTTTGCCATTATATTTTGTTATTTCTTATTTTCCTAATTTCTAAGAATTTTCTTTATATTTCAAATTTCAAAATTATAAATCCAAAAAGATAAAAATCTCAAATCTTTCTTATTTTCTCAATTTAAATATTTCATTTGTTATAACAATTGTATAACAAATAAAACAATTGGAGTTTGGAATTCTGAAAATCATTTGTGTACTTTGAAACGAAAAAAATTATAAAAATGAGGAAATTTATTAGATTAAAATACAAAAACAGAATGAACCTTATGTCGATTTATATTTCTTGCTGAAAATTTCCCAAAGTTGGCAACATGGAAGAATCTCGTTTACCGATTAAACATATCCAGTCACATTGCTTTTAAGAATTTTCCGATAAACTATTCATCAGAAAATTTACTATTTTATCTGACCAATTGGTAACGTGAATAATCTGGTACTACTCGCCCGTATTGCCAAATGGTCAATAATTAAATTTAAGTTTTCTAGGAGTTAATTTTTAAACGAGATGAAAATTACGAAAGTGAAGAAATTTACTTTTGATACATCAAGTTGCTGATACTCTAGTAAATTTCTTTACTTTTGTAAAGAAATGTGATGTATCAATTTTCATCTCGTTTTCAAAATATATAAATTGACTCTCTGATAGTCCACGATTAATTTGGCCAATTAATCAATGCGATTGGTCAATTTTCTTTCCATTCGAGATCTCGGACCGAGATTTCTAGCATCGTGGATACAAGGCCATGGATACATGGTCCACTACAATATTCTCAAGTCCCGATCAATATGCGTAGACATAGTCCAATTGAGAGGTTTCCGAAATCGTTTCTGCTTCTTCCAACGTATACGTTAGTGTCGATCCACAATAAGTATTTAATTTTAAGTCGTAAGAAATTGACCAATCATAGTCGATTATTCTTTTCATATTCGATTATAATTAGTCAATTTCTTACTTTTTAAAGCTTAAATCACTTATTGTGGACCGATCTTAGGTATTTAGATGTGTGAGACATATAATTTAGCTGCAGTCTCTTGCGGGAGTGTCCCGTTTGACCACGTTGCGATTGATAGCCACTCACAGCGGCCGGTGCCTAGAGATTTTCCTCTGTTCAAACGCTATGAGTGGCTGGTGGTCAATTGCAACGTGGTCAAACGGACTCCTACCCGTCTCTTGCACATGCGCCGAAGTTGTTGTTTCTAGATTAGCAGAAAGCTCGAGCTGCGTTCAGAAATACCACCGGAATGCACCCAGGTATCATTTTATCCTTGTTTAACATTCGATGAGCAAGAAAGATAAAATGATTCGTCCGATGTCGAACCTGCCTGAACCTAGATCTGTATATACATCAAGGGGATTGCCCAGGGATGTCCCTTTTCGCTACGGTGATTCCTATATTTTTTAGCACGAACGCGCGTAACTGATCTTAGCAAGTCGTTTCTGTGATCGAGTTCAAGTTTTATATATACTGCACGTGGCAATTTTTCTACACATACATACACGATAATTTCTTACATAACGGGGGATTCCTCATTTTCTAAGTATCATTTATTTGACACAGGTTATATCCCCGACATTTGAGAGGGACTTCACCGTGAGATCGAAAAAGAGTGGCGGGAAGTAACGGAATTAATTTTATGTCAACGTTTCGGATTTTGCGTTTGTAAATGGACAATTTAGTGGGACCCACGTCAACGAAGAAGAGATGCAGCTCGCAAAAAGAGAAAATTCAGTTAAACGAGTGCAAACGAGTATTCCAGCTGCGGCAGCAATTCCCCAGTACGGTGAAGGAGGCTTTGAAGGAGGGTATAAACATCGTCGAGCCAGTCGCATTAACTGTAACGACTCCAGACGTCGTGACGGTTCTATCGAATTCGGAAAATCGATTGCAGAAGCTAAGAATTCTATCTCCAGATGGGAGAGACCTAGGAGAATTCAGTGTGACACTGCGATCACCTAATTTGTTAAAAGGCAACACAGTCACAATTACTGAACCTAATCTCCATTTTGCTAAGAAACCTGTAATACTTCCTTCAATCTCGCATACAAAAGCATTTCCACGGATACTCAGACAAGGTACTACAAAAGTGCCAAAGACTAAAATAGAAGATACATCTGGTATTAAGGATATTTCTTGGACAGATAGTAACAGCATATTGCATCAGCGACAATCTTTGTTGAGTAACAGAATGCTTACAAATAGTGATGCTACCAAAGGTAAGATGGAAGAACAAACATATAGTAATATTAATAGTGTACTTCCCGTAAATAAAATATGTTCTGACCATTCTATGCATCAAACTAGTGATAGCGATAATAAACATAGGGTACATAATGGGATAGACAGTATAGATGCTGATTGTATGCAAATTCAAGAAGTTAATACTGAGAATGATGCAACTTCCGTAGTTGTAAAAACACCACTTAAAAAAATTGTTAAATCACCATCTCCTACAAAACTTGCAATAAAGTTTAGTGATATAAAAAATATGCAAATGCTTAGTAAGAATCGAAATAAGGGAAAAATTATCGCTACTATAAAAAAGACGGAAAATGGGAGAATTATTACATCTTTAAAAAGAGTAGCAGCAGACTTTGTACAGATGCATGAGAAAATTAATAAGAATTTAGATCAAAATAGCTTAGGTAACAATGATAGAAAAAACCTTGATACTAGAAGAATCTTGGATGATAATAATTCACTTCAAAATAAATTCAATATAATTTCTACAAATAATCAAGTGAAAGAAGTAAAAACACAGAATATTATGACAATTATACCTAATAATGAAGTTGTTTCATTTAATCAGAATGCAGTTTTGCGGGAACATAATACTTCAGTGAAGTCGAGTACTGAAAATAAAACTAATGTAAATCATATTGCGGTTACGCCATGCGAAGATTCGAAGACAGGATCTCAAAACAACTGTCCAGTTATTATCAATGATCATGCACAACACATTCCAGATTTGCAAGTTCCATGCACTGATGTAACTGGGCAATCGAATGAACAGATTAACTGCCTTAAGGATTTACCTCAGAAAAACCTATTAAATCGATTGGATATTATCAAGAAAGCAATGGACAGTGTGAAAGACAGTGAGCTGCGTGAAATGGCTCTGAAGGCTTTAGCAGATTGCAACATTGGAATTGAGAGACATGTTCCAATATGTCCACCAGAGAAACACAAGTCTGTACATGACACACAAGTGCAGACCATGGTATTTGGCTTGCTCGAGCCAAAAACTTTTATATTAATAGACAAGGACATTGATGACATTAACAGATTAAATCAGATAATTCTTCATGATTTGCCTAATAATTCGAATCTACCATTAGCAGATAATTCACATTCGAATAACTTGATATCTAAAATACAAACTAATACAATCGAGCAAGAAAGCCCTTTTGACTTGGACAGTTTCATGGACAGTTTCTGGAAAGAGAATTCAGATGCTTTTAAAATGAAGGAAACTCTGTCAGTGACAAGAATAAGATGTAACAATATTCTGGAACATTTAGAGAAAGATTTTGAACATGCTAAACGGTACGATCAGAATGGCATGTTAAATATTCATAATGCCATCATAAGTAATAATGTTCATCTTGTTCGGAGGCATCTAATGATACTTCAGCACTGTAAAGAAAGCGTTGATGTATTGACCGAAAGTGGAGCGGTAGGTTCACTTCTTTTTTATCTAATCTCGAATTTATAATTTTATCTAATTTTAAAAGATACAATATATAACTACGTTACATAACTCCATTATATAACTTCGCAGACAAGTTTGGAACTGGCAATCTCGTACGACGTATGCAGCGAGATAGTGAACCTCTTGCTTGAGGCTGGAGCACAACCGGTAATACTGAAATCCATACACGAGTCAGCGTTAATTATAGCTAGCAAACACTCATCACCGTACTTATTGACACTTATTAGCCGGATTACGGATTCGAAGTTGCTCGATCAAATTGATTTGGAGGGTAAGTTATAACGCAAGGAATGGTTTGTAAAACCAGTCGTATGAAACATTTTATGTCTTTCAAGGTCTCGCAGCGATACACTATTGCAGTATGCGTGGTAATTTACAAGGAGTCAAGGCACTTTTATCAGCAGGTGCGACTATAGATTTGAAAGATATGAAATCGGGACGCACAGCTTTGTTTCATGCGATAGACAATGGACACATGTCACTGATGCAAGTATTGTTAAAAGCCGGCGCTGTCACAAATCTTACGAACTATGCGGGACAAACACCTTTGTCCATAATGAGCGATAAATCTATTTGTCAAAGTATTGAAAAAAGATAAAACGTAATAGATCTTTTATACAATTTTTATAAAATGACATGTCTTTAAAAAGATGTATAAGAAAGTACTCAGTATATCAAGATAAAAAGCTTTTGAATAATATGATATATGTAAAGATTAATTTATTCAAATTTAATTTTAGTTTTAATGTTTCGATCTAGTCAAACGATAATATTCGATAGAACTGTACATTCAATTAGAACGACTTAAATTCTAATTAACTTCATCTGCGATTAATTTGATCAGAATTGTTAACATTAATAAAATAATATTGCTTGGAATTAATCGCCGATTAAGTAGTTGAGATTTGATCGAAAACAATTTTCAAGAAATATTATATATCATGAAAGAAAAGACTTTTTTTAAAAATATTTTTGAAACTTAACGAAATTTGAATCTTATAAAACGCAGAAGATAATTATATTGTATTACAAACTAGACAAAAATAGTGTAGTGTACTGTAAAAATAGATTTCAATATTTATTATATATATATATATATATATATATATATGAGGAAATAACTATTTATTTATT